GTCGCCTCTAAGTGTTGACTTCTATGTTCACTTTTATATATATATATATATATATATATATATATATATATATATATATATATTAAGACATTTTTTATGTTTATACATTCTTTTTATAGATGCAAACATTTAAGTAAATGCTCTGTTTATAATAAACAGTATTAACAACATTTACCGGCCTGAGTGTCCTAAAAATTTTCATAGAAAATATTCGTCCTCCGACAGGAATCGAACCTGTATCCTATACGGAACCATCATATAGCCTGAAGTGCCTTAACCGATTCGAAGGACGCATAAAAATGTTTTAAAATAATTGTCGGACATTGTCCATTTCATATATATATATATATATATATATATATATATAAACATCTAGTGTAATGGTAACCGTCTTCATCAGATAACTCTGGATTCAGGCATTGTTTCGTGAAGGAAGCATTATTATTATTATTATTATTATCTTAGAAAAACCTCGCATAATGCAACCTCAGTCCACTTCTGGGGTATTGCTGTAACTTCTAAGTTAATCAGTTCTAGAAACCTAAGATATCTTGAAATTGAATTAGCTACAAAAACAATGCATCTAATTTCACCGCGAAATATGACTTTCCTTATAGCTTCTTTATACATACATACATACATACATACATACACTATCTATAAAAGTAAGTGTTGATAAGTTCTCGACTCGACCAAAAAGTGTTTTTCCAAATGTTTGGTCATATTTTTGGTCATATTTTTATAATATATATATATATATATATATATATATATATATATATATCTTAAAAATTGAAGGATTTTTCTTAACAGATCGCGACAGCTATTAGGGAGATGTGATTAAATATACTTTAATGTTTACAAAAATATTCAGTATTATTATTGTTTTGGTTGCAAACAAGGAGGAGGCTTATACGTAACATCAGGAAGAGGCAGCTGAAGTTTCTGGGACACATAATGAGAGAAGAGGGCCTGGAGAATCTGATACTCACGTGTCGAATAGAGGGAAAGAGTGGCGGGCTTAAGCAATGGGATGACAGAACGAGGTCAGGGGGTATGTACCAGGGGGAAGGAACTTGTTAAGAGCTGCAAGGGATAGAGGGAGGTGGAGAGCCATAATCGCCTACGTCCTGAAAGGTCATGGCACATAAAAACAAGAAAAGAATAAGCATTATAACATAGGACAAAGAGCTATATAGTGGAAAAAAGAATTTTCCACAATATACGCATTTTTTTACGTATTTATGGTTATTTTTTTTTTAACTTTTATCAAAAACGACATTCTTGTACATGTATTTATGGATAATATTATACATTAATTTATATTTTTTAATTAGTATTTTTGACATTAATAGCTATCTGCTGATGTGTTAAAATTTTGGAATAATGCAATAATAAAAATTTAATTTTCATCTCTCTGATAGATGTCACGATATGGAAATAAATAAAAATGTATCCAGTGTGCAGCCCGGCAGACGAAATAAATACTGTTTAAAATAAAACAGAGCGTCGACTCAAATGCGATTATCCAGTAAAAACAACGATTGAAGAAAAATATATATATATATATATATATATATATATATATATATTGTATGGTCCTCAGGTATTTCCCAACGGTACCGTATGCTGGAATCCTCTCCCGACCGATATATAATACCTTAAGAAATCAAATCGTGACCCATGGTGAGATTGTTAGCATGCTAACCACTCCGCCACATATATAATTTGTATCATGGCTTCAAAAAGACTTATTTGCGATGAGAAGGCTATCGTCAACTAAAGCCATTCCTGGCCATCGAACTGGTCAGTGAGAGGCGAAGTAATGTGACGTCACTGAAAAAAAGATGAAGGGACATTTTTAAAAGACCTTCATCTATTGCAAAATTAAATACAGTTGATGATTTGATGGCTTGGGGATATGATGATTTGGAGGCTTGGAGGTATAATGTTTTCCAGGCAACCACCTCTGCAAAACACACACACGCATTAAGTGCTACTATCAAAAAATTATAATTTTGTGGCAATTTTTCTAGTGGCCATTTTAAGGTTAGAAAAAAATAGATGAAGAATAAAACTGTTTTTTTTTTAGAAAAAGATTTGTTAATTTTATTAATTGTACATCTTTAATTAAATTTTGCGAAATGAGGAAAGGCCGCATTGACTAAAATAATTGCTTACAGTTGGAAGAACCTCTTTTTTGGAAATGATATTGTGCGTCTTTAAATAAAATTGAAAGCTTGTCAAATTTGATTAATAAAAATAATTAAAAGCTTCTTTCTTTATATTTGATTCGAACGCACTCAAGTATAAGTCGAGTTTTCACGACAACATATTTTGGTCAAAAGAAGCGGCTTGTTAATTTTAATGCCTCCAAAAGGGGCAAGGGATGGTACGTAAATTTTAACGCCTCCAAAAGGGCCAAGGAATGGCTTGTTAATTTTCACACCTTCAAAAGAGGCAAGGAATGGCTTGTTAATTTTAACGCCTCCAAAATGGTAAGGAAGAACATGTTAATTTTAAGGCCTCCAAAAGGGGAAAGGGATGGTACGTTAATTTTAACGCCCCCAAAAGGGCCAAGGAATGGCATGTCAATTTTAACGCTCCCAAAAGAGGCAAGGAATAGCATGTTAATTCCAACGCCCCCAAATGAGGCTTGTTCATTTTAATGGCTCCAAAAGGGGCAATAAATAGCATGCAATTTTAACGCCTCCAAATGAGGCAAGAAATGGCTTGTTCATTTTAACGCTTCCAAAAGGGCCAAGGAATGGCATGTTAATTTTAACGCCTCCAAAATGAAACTACTTTTTATTAATCATCTCAGAGATATCTTTCAGCCACCATCACCATGGCCGATGCTAGCCTCCAGGAGAGTGTTTCGTTGTGCGTTCTCGGGCTGACATGAAGTGGAAAGATTATTTTTGAACTGATTCGATCTTTCTTATCAAATCGATAAATTAAAGTTATTCTGAACTTCCATTCTTCTAGAGTTTTCTTGTATTAATGCAATTGACCTCCAGGGATCTGACCTTTGACCTATTTTGTTCTTAATTTTCATCAATGACATTCTCAATGCAGTATCTATGCAGATGACAACTATTTAAACCTGTCTCACTAGTAAGTCTGATCAGTTCGCTAAGGTCAAATCGACAGCTGATCTAAAAAAACAAAACAAAAAGAGGACTACAGTCTGTTGTTAAATGAGGGAAGGAATGGTATGTTAATTTTAACGCCTCAAAAACGAAACTACTCGCTAGACCCCTTTTTACCTCCCATCAGCATGGCTGATGCTAGCCTCCAGGAGAGTGCCTTGTTGCGCTTTCTCGGGCTAACATTCTCGGCTGACATGAAGTGAAAAGGACACTGCTAGATCTGCTGCCATGAAAGTTGGTTCATTGTGTCATGCTAGACAATTTCTCTCTCCAAAATCTATCTTACATATTTATGAGTTTACCATTCTTCCATTCTTTGAGTATTGCTGCCGTATATGATCTGGTGCTCCTGCTATATATCTATAGATCCTTGATAAAATCAAAAGAAGAATCTGCAATATTATTGGTCATGATCTGGCATCTCGACTTCAGTCTCTTTGCCACTGCTGTAATGTAGCTTTCCTGCGCCTTTTCTATAAATATTTCCATGGTATTTGTTCGGATGAGCTCTTCCATATGATTAAATTTTTAAACTTGTTGTTTTACCCCCCCCTACCACAAACAATGAATTGTACATATGAGGACTAGTTAGGACTTTCATAGAGACAATGAGGTATTATGGTGGGTGTAGTAAGAAAGGTAAGTAAGAATGCGTTGTTTTTGGTGTAAGGAATATTATTGTATGTTTACGTCAGTGTTTATGGCTAGCTAAGTTTATCGTTAAGACAGAAGAAGACCGTCCTTTCCCACAGTCCCCTATTTAGCCTTGTGTCAGATTTTGTATTGTCCTTATGATTCATAAAATCTAGGTACCATATGGTACCTAGATTTTTTGAATTTAAGCGCAGTACTAAATTGGTGACAAGGTCTCATCGATTTACAGTTGAAATGGCTAGATAAACCGTAAGTCTCGTTTCTCGCACTTCTCGCTTGTAGAAATTTCTTCCGGTTCCACGCATTTCAGCCAACTCTGAGCTTCAAAACTTTAAATGCAATGTCAATCGTTATCTACCGAGTTTTTGATTACTCTTCTATTGTTTTCGCTCCTTAATAATGTTTCTCTTTTTTTCTTAATCTTTCACACTCAGTAACCCCTTGTGTTTTATTGGCTGTACTGTCTCGCATGGGATGAAATGATTTTTTAAAAAAACGTGTTGCCGTTGAAACCTGTGCATGGCGCAAAGGACGAGTAGTGAATCTGATTTTAGAACCTGAAAAACATTCACTAGCTACAAGAAAAATGTTATAAAAAAATTCTTAGTTGCTTTGAGGACTTAAATAAGAATATAGAATATTTAGCTGCCGTTTGAAGCGTTATAGTATAAAGTATTGAGATTTGTTAAAGGCGAAAAGTTTTTTTTGCCCTTTGCATTCGTTCATTTTCCTGTGGTACCCTTCATTTCACCTCTTCATTTATGTCTTCCTTCCGCTTTCAGTGTCCTTTAAAATTTACCTCTAACTTTTCATTTTCTTTTATCACTTTCAGATAGCGCGCGTTTTCTCTTCCGACATATTTTTGGTTTCGTTTTCCTTTATTCTATTCTATGCGCATGCGCCATTGCCGCCATTTGTTCTTTTTTCATTTTCTTGATGGGCCTCAAAGAAAAGGATTAAAAAAACACAATAAATGACACAAACTGCAGATAATGGAAAGAGACAAATGAACAGAGATCTTTCGCTTTTACAGGCCCAAAGCCTGTAGCCAACGAAGATACTCAACAACATTCCTTTGTCGTCAAAGAACTTTTTTTTATCATCCTCTTATGTAGATTGATTGTTATTCTGTGTTGCTTATAAGAAAGGGTAGTAAACCAAAGGACGGATAACTAGATGCCGAAAACGTATCAGTCAACCATTTTCTTCTTTCATTCTTGAAATCGACGGTCTTATCTTTTTTTTCTGTTTTTCTTTTGTTTTGTTTTTTTGTTCTTTTGGTTATTCATTCTTTATTTCCATACTTCTTTTTCTTTCCGTTCTCCGTTTTCTTTTCTTTAACTTGCTACCATTTTTCTTTCTTCTGTCTTCTTTTTCATTTGACGAATTCATTTCATTTTTCTCACTTTCTCTTCTCTCACGTTTCTTCCTTTCTTTTTTTTATATTCTCCTTTTTTTCTCTTTCGTTTTCTTTTGTTTCTTTTCGTCTTTTCTTTTTCGTTTTTTTACGTTTTCTCTATTTTTCTTTATCTTCCAATTCCTTTTCTTTTATCGTATTGTGACCTTTCTTTCTTTCTTTCTTTCTTTCTTTATTGCTTTTTTCTTGCTTCCGTTTCTTGTTTTTTTATCTTCTTTTTCGCTTTCTTTCTCACTTTTTTCTTTTCCCTTTCGTTTTCTTTTTTTCTGTGTTCTTTCCCCTTTCTTTCTTTTCGATTTATTTCTTGTTTTTATCTTCTTTTTCTCTTTCTTTCTTTTTTCTTTCATTTTCTTTCTTTTCTTTTATCGTATTTTTCGTCTCTTTTTTTCTTTCATTTTCTTTCTTTTCTTTTATCGTATTTTTCGTCTCTTTTTTTCTTTCATTTTCTCCTTCTCATAGTTTTCCATCTGGTTCGTGTTAATTTTTGTCTTTTTCTCTTTTAACATCATTTTCTTCTTCGCAATTATTTTTAGCCAGTGGTTCCCAAAATCTTTCCATCTGACATACCCCCCCGTCCCACGTTACAACCCAACCCCCACCAATACATGCAAGGAACACAAGCCTCTTTCATGATATTAGATTTACTGCAAATTTGAAACAACACCTGGTCTTACACTAAGTGCGTGATTATAGCTACCTCGAGCCATGACCCTTGCGATGATCACTAGTCCCCACGGCGTCTGCTGTCTGTTCTGACTGACGTGCGGTGCATATCCGGTCCAGATCATGTGATCAGATACAAACAATCGATTCGGCTTTTAACACCGACTCCGGGCCACAAAAGAAATTAACACGATGTTTACGCGTATAATTTTATCTTAATTTTATTCTTTACGTGTTCTTAACTAATATTTTGCGATTGAATAATGAGAAATTCGAAAAGAAAAATCCCCATTAAGTGCTTGGTCCGGTCCTTGGAAATGATTCTTCAGATTAATAATGACAAAAATATAGTTTATGGTATGCTATATTTATGGTCAAAGTGCTCACTATCAGAGATAGAGCGTATGTAAATATAAAAGTGGGCACTCAGGACAAAACCAAGCCGAAATATTCTGTTTCATGCTTAAACGCAAACTAACAGGCTATCAAGAATGCGATTAAGCTGTTGTGAATAATTGTTAACCTCAATGCCCGTTATATATATATATATATATATATATATATATATATATATATATATATATATATATATATATATATAAATAGATAGACTCGTTTCGAAAAAACCTCGAATTTTTGATTTGCTAATCAAATCAATCTCGAGGGAAAAAAGGTTTTAAAAAAAGAAAGAGCTACAAACATGGACTTCTGCCGACAAAAAATCGCACAGATGCAGGTCTGAAGCCCAAAGAAAAAAAAACCCGATACGAGTAACAACTAACTAACAAAAGAGCTCAATACAACCGTAGAGCAGACCTAGATACACCTAGACGGAAACTTCATTTAACGTCACTTAAAAGTTTCCCTGACGATCCGTTTAGGTGAAACCCAGGTAGGTTTGTCTGGCTCACTAGGTGTATCTATCTATCTATCTATCTATCTATATATATATATATATATATATATATATATATATATATAATTTAACCGTTTAAAAAAACAAATAATAAAATATACAGAACTACTTTGGCAAATTAGTTCTACTCTGTAATGAGCCCTCTTTTTAATTAAATGTTACGCACAATGGAATTGTACTCAATTTGTTCTCATTTTACCTGGATATATATATATATATATATATATATATATATATATATATTTTGAGTGAAAGAAAGAGCAACACGGGCGTAGATGAAAGAAAGAGAGGTTTATTGTAAAAGAGAATACACTACTGAAAGACAGGAAATCGTTTAGCGAGCTAGTACTCCCCGAAGCAAGGTTATTTAGCCTACCTCCCCGCGAGGCAAGATGTGGCACAAGGCCGTTCTTGAATGCGGGGCTAAACCGAGGCCGTAGCAAAAATTACCCGTAGACTCCGTATACAAGGGGTCGGGTAGCAGTCTACTACCCCAGACGAGATTCTACCCATCGGCATAGCCACGTCTGGTTTCCTTTCCACCCGAAGACAGAAAATTCGACCAGTACAGCTGGAGACGCATCTCCAACTAATTGCCGAAGCAAGGTTATTTACCTTAATTCCCCACGAGGCAGGATTTTATTTTTACTGCGATGCAAAACCGAGCCCGTAGGCTCGGGCAAAAATCCCCCGTAGACCCGGTATACACGGAGTCGAGTAGCTGTCTACCACTCCAGACGAGGCACTGCCCGTCGGCATAGCCTCATCTGGTTTCCTCTCTGCCCAAAGCCAGAGAGTTCGACTAGCTTAGCTGGAGACGAATCCCCAACTAATTGCCGAAGCAAGTCCACCAGATATATCCTGTGCTCACCATATATATCTACTGATATAGTCAGTCCACATAGGCAATAGGGAATGTGGCACATTGCATTACAAAAAAATATATATTATTTTAATATTTATAATTGGGCCGTGTGAAAAAACTCAGTTAATACAATTTGTAAATAAAATATATTAAACAAACTGATATCATGGAAAAAAGTTCAATAATTTTGGAGCGTGCAGTGTCACAACGCTAGAGTTGTATTTTGAAAATCTTAAATGAGAAGAATTATCGAAAGTACAAGCATATCTACGGAACATAATAATCCATTTTACAATTTTTAAAAACAAGGATCGTCTTTAAACGAGTAATTAATAGATTAATATTTTATTAAATCTATTAGCGAAATGTATTCGTCATTAATTTTACTGATTTTATTTTTGTGTGACTGCTTCTTTGTAATATGTATATTCTATTTTTATTATCTATATCTATACTATAACTCTGGCGGTATAAACAAACCCAGCTGATGCAATTTGTAAATAAAAAATATTACACAAACTGATAGCAGGGAAAAAATTCAATAAAAAAAGAAAAGACTCAAAACATCCGTGCCACTTGAAAATAATCAATTAGCACCGTAATGTCTCTCCTAAAGAAAAAAAAACACCGAAAGAATAGCTTAAGTTAGAAAGTAAAGTGCTCAATATAATAAGTAGTGCAAAAAAATCCTAATGAGCCAGAACCTACCTACCTAGGTTTCTAATGGAGCTGTTATCAGATAGGTGTAACGTAATAAAAAAAATCAAATTTATTATCTATTATAAAAATTTAAGACAGCTGACCTTATCCTCAAAAATAACAGCACAAGTCAAAATTACAAATGCCCCTTAAGGAACTGTGTTCCTGATCAAACCGGACTCATAAATAATTACATCGGTTACACAACCACATGCTTATCCAGACGTCTTACGTTACACCTATCTGATCACAGCTCCATCAGAACCCATTTAAACACACACACAAATTTACCAGACTCCATTAGAAACATACTAGTAGAAAACACAAATATATTAACTGCATCCACCTGCAAAAAAAGACTAAAAAATAATGGAAGCTTTAATAATAAAAAAAAAAAAAGCAACTTTTAACAATATTAATTACGAACAAGGCCACAATGTACTAACCGTATTCGGAAATTAAAAACATCCCTACCACGCACTAAGATATACACTGAACGCACACACTCAATTAAGCTGAAAAATCGAATCATCCTTGATAATGGCTAATGGTATAGCCGAAAGCGCTCGGAAATATAAAACACTTGGACAGTTCTTACACACCCTTTGTCCAGAAAAGAAAGCTCTTGTTAGAACACAAGAAAAATTAAATAAAAAGCTTAACTGTAGTACCTTGTCTGTCGTTTTTAATGAAACATGCATACAGTACATGTATTGCTGCCTAAATATACAACTATATATATATATATATATATATATATATATATATATATATATATGGATAGATAAAGAATGGCGATACCACAAAATATTAAGAAATCTTAATATTAATAAAAAAGTATCTAAAAAGAACGTTTCGGCCAACTATTCTTCATTGATATATCGTTGGTGAAATTTTGTTTTTAAATGAGACGATAACCGAAAAGATTTGGGGGACTAATAGTGTAGGAAAACACGTCACTGCCCGAATAAAAGATAAAAATTGTCTTCTATCAAATATGAAGCTTATTTAATTTGTATAAATAAAAGCAAATAAAATTGATTACTAACCTGAAGAAGCATCACAAATGGAAAAGAGAAATAAAAAATAGTAGAAAAAACGATTAGTGTTCAGTTAGGAGAAGAAGGGAATGACTAAAGTTCACTTTTTTCTTACACAGGGTGGGTCTTCTAAACTTGATTGGAATCGCCTCAACAATATTCAGCATATGCCGAGAAAGGACCCTGTGTAGTATATTGAACCAATTTTCTCGATATTTGTACATACGGGATTGTCGATCAAATATTCGCCATTAGGAGATTATAGAGAGAACTGAACCGTGTTAAACGGCGTGATCCCACATCTTATATAAGCCAGAACATGCTGGTTAATTCTCGTAACCAAGCATTGGTATAAAGTCCGCGCTGCACTGACACTTAAAATAGCAAAAAACAAACTATTAGCAAGAATAGTAATTGTTGGTTATTGGAATTCATTCCATATACACCAATTATATACTTGTATATATATATATATATATATATATATACTAAATTTTTTAGCCATGTTGATTTTGGCCAACCAGTTGACATGTATTCTCTCGATCATCTACCGCTATTTCTTGCTTCCTCTTAGAAACGATGCCACTGTCTCTCACATAATAAAGTGAGATAATTTCCAAAATATGGAAAAATAATCAAACACTAGAATCATACGTTGAGTGTGAGGTGGGGTTCATACATGGTCTGACTGATAACTTTTCAGCACCCTTTCGTATATAATTAAATGCGAATCTCATTATATTGAAGAATGTTGAGGATTAAATAAAATGTTTTGGTAAATGTTTGTTTTCCTTTTCAATTCCTGTTCTGTCACGGGTTTTCAAGATTACAAACAGCACTTTTTAAAAAATATTGACAGCATTATTTTTTATATATTTTTTTTTCAAATTTTGGAACAAATACTTGGGTTGGTGACAGATGTATGTATTGAATACTTTTTTCCAATTCCATCTGTTCCACTCACAGATAAACATGGGATTTACCAATTCCATCTCTCCAGAAGAATAAGTGCACTGACTTGGACTCCAAGAAGTCTGAAACAACTTCTGGGAATCACCTGTCTTCTTTTTTGTTTAAAGTCGTCTTTGAAAAAAATAGTTCAATTATAGAGGAAGCGGTGACTTGAGTGAGTAGCGATGACAGTGGATGTCGGAGAAGAGAGGGAGACGAGACTAAGTTTTTTCTAAGAAGAAATTGTCGAATGAGATCATTTCTTTAAGAAAGAAATACCAAAAGAAATGAAGAAGACAAAGCAAAAAAAAAAAAAAAATCAAAT